AAAAAAGTACCCCTCTGTATATGTTATATGGTGAAACTGGGAGATACCCTTTAAATATTTATATTAAGCATAGAATGGTTAGCTTTTGGATTAAAATGACAAGTGGTAAAACTGGCAAATATTCTTTGTTATTATATAAGTCTCTATTAAAAAATGATGTTAATCATACTAATAAATGGCTAATGACTATCAAACATACCCTTGACGAATGTGGATATAGTTATGTATGGAACTCACAACAGGCGCGAAATCCAGTTAAACTGAAATATGAATTGTTACAACGACTAAAAGATCAGTATATTCAAACCTGGTCGTCAAATATCCAGAAATCGAATAAATCTGTTAACTATAGAATTTATAAGACCGAATTTAAATTAGAACCGTATCTTATCTCACTGCCGAATAATTATAAATATACTTTTATAAGATATAGAACATGTAACCATAGACTCCCTGTTGAGGTCGGGAGATGGATGAATGTAGATTTTGAACAAAGAATTTGTCCTTTATGTGAAGCAAATACAGTCGGCGATGAATATCACTACCTATTCAATTGTACTTATTTTATTAAAGAACGCGAAAAATATATATCCACATATTATTATACAAGACCTAATACTTTTAAATATCATAAACTTTTTAATTCAAGCAAACAATCAATAATTATAAAATTATGTATGTTTTTAAAGATAATACTTAACAAATTTATGTCCATTGACTAAGAAATTAAAAGCCTCCATCTTGTAAATATGTAAATAACCTATCACTCATATGTCATGTATTTGATCTGAGTGGTGAATAAAGTTCTGTTCTGTTCTGTTCTGACTGAAGATGTACAATGAAAAGCCTTAAGTTAAATACGCACTGTAAGTAATTAATTGATGCGTGCGCTTAACCTCAAAAGATCTGCAATAGAGTTGAGAGACTAAGACATGGTTCAATTTTATTTTAATAATGCGCATAGTGTTGCGTTTCCCTTTTCAACGCTATTCGGGCTCGTCTCAGTCTAAGCACGTAAATCAAAAGAATAACAAATTCAATCATAAATTACATAAACTTTATTCAACAAATATTTATAATTAATACTTACATAATACAAATTACAATGAATAGATATATTAAATAGTCTTTACAATAATGTTCATTTATAGCTCATATTTATATTTATACAATTAATAAAAGTCATTTACTTTAATAAATAAATGTAACGAGCGGGATTTATTCCCCTTTGTTCCAGACTCTTCACTCTTGTAATACAAAGGCGTGATTTCCACTCTTCCTTTTAGCAATCAAGGTCTCTAATTAATACAAGAACACTTATTATGGTTCTTTACAATGGATAAGGTTATGTAATCACTGCATGGTTATTATATTACTTATAAAAATGGTCACTGGTCCTGTGTAGCAGGTTATATTATGGGTAAAACCACGGGTTAATAGTGGGCTCTATAACATTCAACAAGTCACTAAGGGTGAACCTCAGACGACTGGTAATCTTCGGGTGAGCCTCGGGTGATGGGTGATCTTCGGGTGAAGAGTGAATATTGGGTGACGGTTGAGTCTTGGGTTAGACTTGGGTGACAGGTGATCTTTGGGTGAAGAATAAGTCTTGGGTGAGACTTGGGTGACGGGTGATCTTCGGGTGAAGAATAAGTCTTGGGTGAGACTTGGATGATGGGTGATCTTCGGGTGAAGAATAAGTCTTGGGTGAGACTTAGATGACCGGTGATCTTCGGGTGAAGAATAAGATTCGGGTGACGGGTGAGCTTATCGAGTTTCTAGTGTGACCCTTTTAGACAACAATTATGGTTCTCACGGGTCACGGGTAAAAACTAATTCCAAAATTAGTTTAGCCTATATAGCTTAATAGCTTATTAGCCATTAAATAAGGCCTTGCAATAAATTGAATCAATTTAATTAATCTGTAGACTTACTAATTTATACTAGTACTAATACTAGGCATAAAAATAATAGTCCAAATTCTATCAGGTAAAACTAATCCTAATTAGTTTATTTCAGGCCCATTCAACAATAGTAATTAAAGCCTTGCTATCTATGATTTAGTCAGAAAAGCTTAGTTATTATTATTATAATAATACTCTATTATTAGGCCTAGTAATTCTATAAAAATTATGGAGACCTCCGGTGCAGTGAAGCTTTTCACTTCCAATTAAATTCGCGTGGTCACGGGAAAACTCGCTAAATTCAGGCCTATTTATATAGTTAGGCCTAGATATAAACATCGGCAATCGCAAGTCGTTAAAACTCACGAAAAATATGGGATAGCCTTAAAACTGCCAATGAGCCCTCTATCAACGTAAATGAGGAACAATTATTAGCAATACAATAATTAATAAATGAATAAGGCTTCAAACCACTACTGCCCATTTAATATATTAGTACTATTGTGTATAAACGAAGCTAAGTATTGGGTTAATTACATAACATATGGACCAGTGGTAATTAATGCTTTCTTTGGGTAGCTATATCTTGGTGTGACTATGTGTAATGTCATAAACAATGTGGAAATTCCCACCTATATCGTGAGAGGCCTTCGAGCTGGGAATACGAATATATTTCGTTATTAATAATTTCAGATGCCTGATTCTTTATTTAAATTACATATCGGAAACAAGGGGAAAATGTGGTTACAATTCCAGTTTCGTAACAATAGGGGTCTTTAGCTGTGGGAGGAGAAGCTGGAGGACCCGAAGAAAACCCACGAGGTTGGACAGGTGACGCTACTCCTCGTACCATCAAAAAATATTCATAAATATAAATAGTTGCTGAGATATGAATTTTATGGATCAAAGTGAAAAAGAAAAATAATAATAAGAATAATAATCTGAACAAAAACAATCTAGTGTTTCAAACAAGCTATGCAGTGTGAAACCCTAATAATTATAAGCACAATTGAAACTTTGAATTCAAGTTTGAACAGATGTAGAGAAGTGAATAAATTTTAATGGTGGTATCTTATTTATTATATATAACAGTGTAGTCCCGATTGTATTTGGTAGCACTGTTACGATAATAAATAAAGTCTTGATTTAGCTATTTAATGAAATTACTTCATTTTGAGCAGAGTTACCGTATTTTGCAGAACACTTTTTTTGATAATAAACAAAGCCTCGATTTAGCTATTTAATAAAATGGCTCTTTATAAAATGATACTATATTAGTTATTTATTAACACAAATTGTAAATATATTTTTAATGAAACGGTACTATATTAAAGATACATTATGGGAGATAAGATAAGGAGCTGGCAGTTCTATAATAGTTAAAAAATAAATAATGTAAAGGGAATTTGCTGAAAATTTCAGTCAAATTGATCCACTATGAACCATAAATTTAGCGATTGAATTGTCAGTCTAGCCTTGATCATCATTACTAAAGTCGGTACGATAAAAAACATAGTCGGATCATAATCCAGTAAATATCGCAGGCTAGCGATGACATGGAGAGTTGATTATGGTCTGGATAAGTTAAATGTATTAATAATGGCAGATTTAGCTCTTGCATAATGATAATGTATGTTTAATTATTTATTAATTACACAATTGTAAATATATATTTAATGAAATGCTACTATATTAATTACATAATTGTAAATATATTTTTAATGAAATGGTTCTGTATTATTTATTAATTACAAAATTGTTATTGTAAATATATTTAGGCCTGATTTAAATTATTAATTAATCACACAACAAATGTAAATATTTTATGATGAGTTTTAATTTATGGATGATTGCAAATTCAGCTTTCAGTTAGGGAATAAGCATTTTTTAAAATATTCTTGTTGTATAATTTATTTGTATTGTCCAAACTTCATTACCAGAAGAAAGCCATGTATGTACCTGTACAAAGTTTTGTTTGTTGGGCTAATAAAACGGTACATATAAATGATATATTTTGGCAATGAATATCCTTGCAGATATTTGTTGGGCTAATAAAAATAAAACGGTACATATAAAATGATATATTTTGGCAATGAATCGAATATCCTTGCAGAATTAACGCGCACGCGGCACACGCCCAGTGAATTTCTGGATAAAATGCTACCCGTTTGTTTTCACGATAATGCTGTATGTATTTGTTTTATTTATTCTTTTGTTTTTTTCAAATTGCCAGTAAACCTTGTAACTCGGCCGGTATATCGATCTTCTTGTGGTCCCATTCAATGTCGATCAAGTCGTCCATTATCCGAGTTGACAGATAGTGGATGATCGCGCATCGCAAGTAAAGTAATGCGCATGCGTGTTGCTACGGTGAACACGAGGGGAAGTAATTCTTTTTTAGTCAGGATTGTCAAGACTTCTTTTAGCCGCGGCACAGAATTCTGAAGGCCACGCGGGCGTTGCCTGTCCATCTATATACGGTCCATGCTATGTCCTATATTCAATTGATTTAATGCATGCCCAAAATACAAGTAAGAATGAAAATTTACCCTCTCACTTATTTTGTCCATTTGTTATAAAAATCCAAAAAGGTAAAACACAAATTCGGATATGATGACAGCAGACAAAGGACAGCAGAGATTATGTAGGTGGAGTTAACGCCTGTCAATCAAACGATCGGCCATCCTAAGAATCGGTGAAGATGGGATTCAATCCCATTTCTAGTCAAAAATTACACTGGTGATAACTATGTTCAGAATAAAGTAATTTGACTGAAATTTTCAATATATTCTTCTTTCATCATCTATTTTTGAACTGTTATAGCAAGAATGGCTAACTCCTTATAAAAATCTCCCATAATGTATCTTTAAGTAAAGCCATATGACGCCATGACGTCATAGTTTTTGTTGCGTCATAGTTGGGACCCAAAATGACGCCTGTAAATGAGTTGTCGTAACTTTCCCTATACATGGCTTTGTTGATATGAACCGAATATCAACCTATGATGACGTCATGACAGGTTGTTATGAGATATAACTGCTATGGACACCAAAGAAAAACTACCGCCAGTTGTATATGTTGAAAATGTATACTTACATTGTTATGAATCCTAAGACGATTTTGCAAGCTATAGTAAATAATAAAAAATAATGAGTTATAGTTTAAAGAAAAACGATAAAAGAACACAAATTATCCGTTATTTTCTGACCCTCACAACTGCCCCTAGAATAGTTTATGACTTTGTTATATTTTATTATTGACCATAACTTATGAATTCTGATTTAAATTTTAGTCTATTGCTCATATGTAATGAGTGGGCTGATAAACTCCGCTATCAGGCTACGATTAGCTTATGAATATAGTTATCAAGACACTACTAAAGCACTTGTCAGCTGGGATACCAATGACGCATGAAATCCTACCTTCTATATCTACAACTGGTCTGGGATAAAACTTCCTAGGGTCTATTACACAGAATTAACTCGTTATATCCACTGAGGATTCACCCTAAAAAGAGAAAAAAAACAAAGGATATTAGTCAATGTTGAGAGTTTACTGCATTAAATTGTCCGATGTAAGTAAAGAATTCTTGTCATTGCGACAGTTTATGAAACCATTATGTTTTTATCGTTTTAAAAATATGATTTTCTCTTAGAACCCTGGTGACAGATGTTCTACTCAATACAATATTTTTAATATAACATTGATCATTAGAGTTGTCAAAATACCATTAGTAAGACCATTGTTTCAATAAAATTTAGTAATTAAACTGGAAAAACACAGGTCACAGATATGGAATACCACACAGCTCTTTATTCAGTGTTCTTAATTCTTAGTTCTTAATTCATAATCCTTAATTCTTATTTCTTCATTTGTTGTCGTATTTCGATATTTGTACACTAAAATTAACATTTGTATCTTAAAATCAATACTTGTTTTACAAATCAGACATTTGCCATATCACATTTGTAAATTGTTTTTTTATTTAATTTAATTTTATTTCAATATAAAGATAAAATTAATTTTAGTAAATCAAAAAAAAAATAATCTACATTTACATTTCATCATTGACATACAACGAAAAAAAAATCTTGAACAAGAAATTTCTAAATACAAATCCCCAAATACAAATCTTGCAAAACATTTCTCCAAAAACATTTCTTCAATAACATTTCTTCAATAACATTTCTACAAAAAACAGTTCACGAAATTCATCGAACCGGAACATTATGACGGCATGAGCGGAAGTCAACCTGGCATACAATAACTCACCATACAACAAATGAGAATCGAGCAAACATGTATACAATAAAAGACAATATAAGAAAAATAGCTCGATGACCTCGAATTTAGTGAAATCGGGTGCGTGTTATGTCTCTCTCTCTCTCTCTCTCTCTCCCTCTCTCTCTCTCTCTCTCTCTCTCTCATATATATATATTGGTTAATTTGACCTAGCATTAAATAAAATAAATTAGTAGAAATTAAGTTTTGTCTGTTAGCGACATATTTCTTTGCACAAACGAAAGAGGGCCTTATCTCTTCTAAACCATGTAATCACGAATGTGGCAGTAAAATAGCTAATACTCGTATATTCAAAGAGCGATAGACAAATACCTTCCGGTGAAGCATTATACGATAACTGGAATTTCGTATTAAAGCACGTATTATTTGACTTTTAAATACAACCTTCCCTCACTAAATAGATTTCAGACTATCCAAATTATATCTGCTTTAACAAAGTACGTAAATATCAATATGTCAAAAAATATTTTACAATTTTGAAAATGTATTCGGACCTTTTTAATGGTATGCATCCCGATATCTTGGATTTTGTGTTATGGCCCGTATTTTAACGTTAAATACCCCCCCCCCCCCTCCCCACACACACACACACCAACCTCATTTAATACACGTTAGTGCCATTTCAAATTTGTTCTTTTTTCAAGGTATGTAAATACAAATGTGCAAGAAAATAATTTACATTTTGTAGCAAACAATAAACATACACTGAAAAAACCCTTGTGTTGGATCTCAACACAAGAACTTGTGTTAAAAATATTTAACACATGTTTGTGTTGTATTGCATTGCAATGACACAAGTTTGTGTTCTTTTCAATGTCTTAACACAAACTTGTGTACATTTATAAAATCTTATGTGGTTTTTTTTTCCATATAATTAATTACGTCGACATTAAAGATAACATTTATTATTTTCCTTTATCACATTATGTTTTTTATTTATTGAGAAAATCTGAATGGGATTGGGGAACTGGATTAGGGATCTGGCCTAGCCTATATGTAAAACCACTCTTCCTGAATTTGAATGTCGAGTAATTCACTTGATTTATTTTTTAATATTTCTAATTATCTAAAAGGATATTATATTAATTATTACAAACATTAAGTAGAAATCGCAATGTATGTATCGTGCGATGCATTTAATATCTCTTTTAAAACAACGTATTTTATAACAGTATACTGATATAAGAGATCAAAGTTTTAGTCAATTATTATCTAAATATAAACTATTTATTTAATTAGATATAATAAAAGATTATTCTGATTCTACTCTTTGTTTATTTTCACATCTTGTCTCAGACAATATACAGAGACAGGTTATTACAATGTCTGCATTTGGAAGTGTCTGATTGATATCGCCCCAATAAACTTGACACATCAAAGACAATAACAATTGTGTTATATCTACGTTTTAAAAAAATGTTTGAATGGGCGTGGAAATAGTCGAGTTAATCTTTTTATTTAATTTAATTGGTTCATTAATCGAAATTGGAAATTTATTCTTACCTGTAAATGACCAATTAAAATGAATTACTCTTAAAACAAAGAAAGAAATATTTATTGAAGTAATTTTGCGGTATTAAGCCCTGTGGTACAGCAAATGTTAACTGTATTATTAAGCATTAGTATCGAAAAAAAGTGATATTGTTGTGAAAAAAGTTTGTTCAGAAAATAAGAACATCAGGTTTGTGATTTTGGTATTTTTTAATACAATGTATTTATAACGCAAATTTTTCGTTTCGGTTAAAACAAAATATACGTCCATTTTAATTGGCCGAAGGATGTGTGACTAATAGAAATATGGCGGGCGGACAAACTGACCAAACAGTATATTTCGAGGTATTTGAGGTAAGCTAATTTAATATTATATCATAACTGCATGTGCATAATTGTGTTCTGTTTGATTAAATATTCAAAAAATCATTCTTAGGATACAACCTCGACACCAGTCCGCCCTGAATTGCAATGTTTGTTTTGTGTTCTGGGCGCCATTTTGAATATAATACAATCCAGCGATAGTGTAGTCTAATTCCTTTAAAAGGGAATCCGCATTTGTTAATTTTCTGCAATATCACTTCGGTGGAAGCGGACGTTAAATAAAGCTATTTCACGTACAAAGACCTACAATAAAATCCAGGTGGATTGGGAAAAATATTCATGTATTTTCTTGATGAAGAGTAGCTATTTCAATTTGTAAATGCCCAGTCATCTTAGACAAATAATAATTCCAACTTCAAATCAGTTGTATTTATTCAAATCATACCATGAAGAATTGTATTTTTCCACTTGCATAATAATAAAAACTTGACTTTTATTATTTTATTTCTTCAGGCCAAGAGCATGGAAAATTGGTAATTGCCTTGTATCACTGCTAACTATAAATTACAGGGAGCCTTGGGCAGAAATGATAATATGGTTCTCAGATATGTTACTGTGTACAGACTGAACAGAAAATATTTATACACTTGCTATTACAGTACTGGCCAAATTAATAGCAATTTTTTCTAAAAACGTTGCAGAAGTAACTCACTAAAATTGAAGTATGAATAAAATCATACACCGTGAATATATTGAACTGAATATTCTTACACATAACCATAGGCGTACGGGGAAATTTTTGACTGGGGGGCGGTGGTGGTTGGTGCCCCAAAAATGTAGTTAGGTTCTTAGTATGTTACATAATAATAATAAATTCGCTGTTAAATTGGACACATTCAAGAACACAATATTTTTTTATACAACTTTTAAAAAGTACAATTGTGTGCCCAAATTTTCCCAGCATTTGGTTCCCAAAATGGGGGGGGGGGGGGCGCCGCCCCCAGCCCCCCCCCCCCAGCTCGTACGCCTATGCACATAACCATATTGACATCTACTTCACATTGCATGGTTGGTCGACGCAACGCCGTGTATAGATAAAGTTGCGACAACTGTGAAGCCAGGAATTTCATATGACGTCATGCAAACTTATTATCTATTTATATGACCTATTATATTGTTGGATGTCATAGATTTCAGCGAATAAGTGTATATAGGACATAAAACATACATTTTTTAAACGAAAAGTATAGCTGAACATACTTTTATTAGTATTATACAACAAGAAGCGCACATTATTGTTATATACCCTTATTCTATAAGAAAAATCAAAATAAAAGATACACTAGATAAAAGTACTATTAAACCAGGGGCGGATCTAGGAATTTTGAAAAGGGGGGGGCTGCAAAATGAAGGCATTGACCGCGGAGACGGGGCTTGCCGCTGGGGGGGGGGGGGGGGTCCCCAAGAAAATTATCCGTCATTTCCTTGCATCTGTAGCCATTCCAAGAGCTATTTCCCAGACTGGTGTGTTTGAGTCGATGGTTCGAGTCATTTGGGATCCCTACAACGGGTTGGGAACTGACATATTTGAGTCTGAGAAAAGGCACTTTCAGCCGTAAAAAAGGGCACTGTTGAAAATTAGGGGGGGGGGGGCGCCCCTCGCGCCCCCCATTGAATCCGCCTCTGATTAAACATATTTAACTTGCATTCGCTTTTAAAGGAGCTAAATCGCTAATATTTGGGAACTAGAAATTGTCACAAATGGGTCGCACTAACCTTGATGTTCACAAATACGTAAGACGATATGAACATCAACTAAAAAGATATGTAATGTGATTCAGCTGCAAGGTGATATATGCATATATTATTATTATTATTATTATTATTATTATTGTTCGATTTATATAGCGCTTCATTACACGTGAAGTGTTTCTAAGCGCATATCACAAACATATACTTCAAACACACAAAAACAATCAAAATCAGGAGAACATAATTAAACACAGCTGCCTGTTAGGCGCTATTATTCAAAGGTTTATATCCAACAAATCAACCGGCTAATCTCTATATTGAACTCAGTCGAGGTATTACCTGATGAACACCTACACCAAGTAGAGTTCAAAAATAAAAACGAAGTTTAAAAGAATCAACTTCATTAACAAAAATTAAACAATCAAAAACTAAACTGATAAATCAAATTCAAACGAAACAAATAAAACAAAGAAAATGAAAAGAGCAGTTCATTACCATTCTACATTAACAAAATAAAGGAAATCAACTTGTGAAAATTTGTTAAAAAAACCCCAAAAACATCAGTTGTCTTATTTTACACATAACTTGTTATCAGTATTAGAAGAGATTACACACAGACAACTGAGGGAGCCACATTTA